CTTATGCACATGTATAGAGTAAGGAATGAGCCACACCTACTGTATGATGCCTAATGATATTACCTCGCTACCCAAACTTCAGCAGGTGCCCTCGGGTTCTAACCTGTGACCCATCTGTTGGAGACCAAGCATCTAGTCCAGTTATGTAGTTGTTGAAGCGCCTTATCTGACCACAATACTAAAGTATTGTACTGAAGATGATATCAGCTGGGATAAATAGGCTTTTCCAACTACTTATGTTATATAAAGGATATATATTGAAGGAGTAACTCTTAAGGCCAACCTAGCGACCATTGAAATGGTCAATTAGTTTTCTGCATTTTATGTAATAACTACTTTTCCAGCTGAAACAAATAGGCTACTTAGTGATTTCAGTAGTCGCTGGGGTCCCGTTTAGAGTAACGCTACTAAAAGATGCTTTTTATGGCATGTATAGGTCAATTGAGTCTTCTACTTTTACTAAAAGGTTAGACAGCTTCTAGTACAACTCATCCTTTGTGTCATCCCAACGGTAGTCAAACAAAGACTACACACCACGGAAAGGATGATTGTTTTTAATCCCTATCGTACCATCAAGTCAAACAGCACACAAGTGACTGCAGCTAGTATCCAGCAGAGAAATGCGCATCTATCTAGGATGTATATACATTTGGAATACTTATAGTACTATGAAACTACAAGATATTCAAAGGGTGACTTGTACTAACTCACCCACCTGGTCAGATGAAGTCAGGTAAGTAAGCATACCTATATAATGTATGCATATTTTATAAACAGGCAGAGACGGATAAAAAACGGCGATTACATCTATGACCATGGACACCAAACTTTTGATATTAGTAATGGATAGTGGCTAATAATGGAATCAAGAACGCGCATTTCGACCTATTTGACACTCGTCTATTAAGTACCGTCCTTCTGTTAGTGATATTTCTCTCAATAAAAACCTGAACCTTGTACCTGTCATTTCAAACGCCAGGGTGTTATCCAGTGGACCAATGAATCATGATATCCGCTCCTTGTACGACAGGTACACTATACTTTATATGCTATAGCCTCTAATAAAAAGCACATTCTGGATTCCACTGCTAGCCACTATGCATCATTAATATGAAAAAAACTGGAAATATGAACAACATCGAAGCATCCGCACAGAAGCTCCTATATCAATAGTACCTATCGACTCGGTTCAGTCATCGACGGGAAATTATATGCAATACCAAACTTTCCGCCAGACTGTTTTGCCATCCACCCTAACAAGGGGTATGAATACTAAACACTAAAATACATATTTAGTCTTAAGAGCTGATATTTCGTAGATTATATTCCTCAGTACAAACTGTGGGACTTGAATAAGTTGGAAGTAATGTCAGGTTGGTAGCAGAACTAGAAGGCTTAGATAGAATAAAAAAAGAAAAATATTGATTTCAATAAGGAATAACTTCATAGCTGTTTTAAATACGAGGGTAGCTGATGCTCTTTGTTCATCAACACGGTATTACTGGAAACAAATATGAGTTTATTTTATGTTGCATCATACTTATCGCACTGATGAGTTTCCCTAGGAACAACAAACGGAGAACACCTTCAGTTGAGGCGAAATGCAAATGGATGAATAATTCCCACTAAAGTATAGCTGGGTATACTACTTGATGAGTGAAGTTGAGACTCCGTTAGTAACACAATTGTGTTGGCAGAGTGATAGACCAGTAGTCAAAATCTATGGATTCAAATTAGGTTTATAACTAGAACAATACAATTCACTTCACATTACCCCTAGTTTTTTTGAAAGCTATTTACCAAAAGACCTACCCGTACATAGTAGGTTTAAGGCAACTATCTAGCGTTTAATGAGGTATGCAGTTTTAGCAACTAGTAATTACGTAAGCATACGAAATAATCCTTTAAACCCAGAATGAAGTAATAAGCAATAAACGTCTTCCATACATAAACTTTGGTACCATGTCTGTATGCAACTGTCATCTCGACTGAGACGAAAAACAAACATAAATGGTGTAGTACCTGGCCGATGTAACTATACATCAACCCAAATAGTCAGACTTTGGATCAATACATTGAGATAAAATCAACAAAAGAGACGAGAAAAGTTACGGAATGAACAAAGATATCTCTAATACGATTTTTGTTGAAGATTAAACTTCGATTAGAGGGTGAACATTTCTTTACACCACTGATTGCATGAACTAATACTGTACTTTGGTTTGAACATCATGAGGTTTAATACATCTGTTTTTCGATTCACTCAATATTGTGTTGACACCGACAGCCTTAATCGATGGTAGATCGACTGAGTCTCCTGATACAACCCGTCATTTATACTCAACTTCAACTTTTCACATGGGGTAACTGCTTCACTCTGACGATGCTGGAATGCGTGAAGTTGTTATTCCGATTGACGTGTTATTAATTATTCGCCTACTTTATTCTCCAACTAATGATTCATATTAAACTGTACGATTGTGAACTAGGTTTAAGACAACTAGAAATTTTGAAATATGGTCATCACGCACCAGACCAGGTCACGCCTTCGAATGGAATCCAAAGGGGAAACGACAAGTTGGGTATCCGAGGTGAGGGTGACGTGGAGATCATGTGAGAAAGAAGTGAAAGGTTGTGGGCAGCGGTGGAGCTAGGTTAAGAAAGAATAATGCAGAGAAGAAAGTACAATGGAGACATGCTACTAATGCCCTATGTTCCACTAGGAACCCAAGGGAAAAATAATACGTGCATATAATTGTCCTGTTTCAAGTCTTGATATTTTAGTAGTTGACTGAAACATGAAACCTCTGATCGAATATATGTACGATGACTAAGAATATGTTACTTTTTATAACGATACAAGTTAGATGCAACTCGGGACCTAGTTATATCTAGCGCTCATGAAATTTCATTAAAACAGAAGAATATTTATGCATTAATAGATGTCTCATGAATAAACTTTTTCAAAAGCAACTTTAACCATATGCTAGCTTGTTTTCTCACTGTTAGTTTTCTCGTTTTATTCACCATATTCACCCACTGCTCACTGACCGAAAAATCCTGTTTATCAGTGGCTATCACTAGATTGGTGTACCTATAGAAATGATTCCTCCGATTATGACTGACCATCGTTCAATAAGTCGTCTGGAGGAAGTTTATTAATCACTCTCAAAGATGAATTGCATAGTCGCAACAATCAGCGATTGGTCTCAAGCGGTTCATTCTCCTCAATTCATCTGAACTAAGCGTAAAAAGTTTTTATCATCACTGACACTAATTATTTATTATTATTTGTCCCTTGGGTTACTAATGGAATATAAGGCTACAGTAGAACGTCTACAGTGAACTCTGCTCTCTGAAATCTTTTCAACCTGGCCCCACGACTGCCCAGAAGCTCTCATTTCTTCCTCACACCATCTCATCCATGTCACCCTCACCTCGGACGCCCAACTCGTCGCTTCCCATCTGGGTTCCACTCGAAGGCCTGATCTGCTGCGTGATGTCCCCAGTCGGCCTTCTCAGTATATGCCCAGTTTACTCCATCTCCACTTCCTTCTACATATTTGTTGAGTGATAGGTTCTTGGTTGGTTCGTTGCCAGATTGAGTTCCTTGTTGCCTATTCTTACTATTCTGGCCATCTGATCTTCAGTAACGAGTTAGCGTAGGCAGTTGTTGACGAATGTATGTAGTTTGTTGGAAATCCCTTTCGTAACGCGCCAAGTAAGCTTGCTAATAAATTAATCTAGGAAAATGTATGATTTCAAAAGGCATCATAACGACCTTAACGACTTTTGGACAAAACAGCTGGTTTCATTGGTTTACTGTTCACTTTGGGATGTGACTACGAAAACGATTAAAAGAAGACTGTGATTCACCACCAGATAGTATCAGAAATAAGGCAATGTATACAAACGACAGAGAGAGAGAGAGAGAGAGAGATAAGACAACTGCTGGTCAGAATGAAGCTTCGTCATACCTATTCAATTTTATCATAGTTATTATTATGGAATTCTCACTCTCGACACTCAACTACACAGGGATTAACCTAAGTACAGGGGAAATTTTGGTAGGCCTAGAATACACAGATGACATAGTCCTGTTAGGTGAAGACTCTAACAACATACAGTGTTCTGGACACCTTGAGTGGCGGTTTAAAAATTTCGAGATAGGTTTCTCGCCACCCAAATGCAAATCATTTCTCTAGGATTGGTCTTCGATTATGATGGTCGGGATATGTATTAAATATGTCTAATCACAGCTTTCCTCGTCGCACAATGTTGGTCGAAGTAGGTTACGGCTGGAAAAGGCTCGAAGCGGCCAAACTAAAACATGGCATCAATGTATGAAGTTCTTGACTGTTCGTTTGAGCCATGTAGAGTGGTCCACACTAGCCGGCTGGACAAGAGGAACCAGTGGTTGGAGACTGACTCTAAGTGATATAGCTCAGAACCAATGTCAGTGGCGCAAAAGTGTACACACATTATCCTCATCTTAACCGCTATACTTAACCACATCATTTTCTCATTCCTCCTTCCTTCCTTTTACTACCTTCTGCTTTTTTTGACCGGTTTCTTTCCCTCTTCATAGTCCATTTTATTACCTTGTTACTTGATGTGGTAATGCGGTAATGCTTGGTCCCGTGTTGATCTTGATGATGATGTGAATGAAGCTAATACGCACTGTCAATGTGACTGTCTGAGATAGTCGAGGTTTGACAGACCCCTATTATTGATGATATTAGATGATTATTGAAAGCAGAATGAAAATCTGGTCCGCTGCAGGATTTCAGGGATATCGGCCTGCGGCTTCATCAACTGGCATACGACACCCATCAGCTGACCAGAGTTTAGTTTCACTTAGATTACCAAGAATTTCTTCGCCCGACTACCATGTGAATTGGTGATTCAACAAGTGTCCATTCATCATATTCACACTGGCTGTCTAGCCACATCTCATCTCATCATCAGTATGACCGGGATAGTTCCAGTTCTAATGTGACCGAATTTTACATTTCACACTCAATCATTATCCATCACCAATAATATATATTTCCCTTCTAGACGTATTAATCACATCTATTAGTATTGAAGTACCCAATTATCTAAATCTTTAAATACACAGTAACAGTTCTCAATTTCATTAAGAAGCATAAAAAATAAGTGAAGATTAGGAAAAAAAACTTGTGGAACTTGACAGAGAAAAAATAAAACAGTAAAAAATAAATTAAAACTGAAGGAAGAATATCATTGGAAAAGAAAACAACCTTGAATGGATAAGAAGTTAATTGTTATGTAGTTCTTCTTTATACACCTGCATTTATTCATCATACATAACACCACCTAATGTGATAAATTAATAATTCTTTGATAAAAAATGAAAAAGTGAAATAACACAACATCAAAAAGAAATCACATCACCAAATACATCAATAATAACAACGATAAAGAGTACAATAATATAATAATAACAGTAATGATAATAATAATAATAATAATACACTTAGAATTTATTCACATACGTAAAAAGGACGTTATGACATATCAAATCTGATCAAGACGATAAAGATAGAGAAAGAAGAAACAATAAATGGATAATAAATAGAAGGATGAATGTGTAGACTAGGCTAAGCTAGGATTGAGTGACATGCAAGTAAAAATCTAAAAAAATGCAATAAAAAGAAACAATTAATACAATCTGATTGCTTTTTTGACAAAGAAAATAACCGAAATGATAACATACACGATAATAAGCATCTTATTTCTACGATATATATACATATATATATATATATATATATATATATATATATATATATATATATATATATATATATATATATATATATAGGGGAAGGAAAGGTGATAAAAGATAACTGAATATAAAAGGTTATTGAATGAAGTTTGATAAAATATTCTTAGTTTTATATAATAATAGTAATAATAACAAAAAACCTTGATTTATCACCTATTTTCTAAACGATCAAATGTTGTGCCAAAATAACGATCACCGAAATTACCAACACCTGGAATAATATGATAACTTTCATTTAAACCGGGATCAACAGCTGTCGTAACAATATGAGCCTAGTATGAACAAAAGAAAAATAAACAGAATACATTGTTGTTATTCATCGTAGACTGATATCATTTGTAGGAACAAAGAAAACTTGAGAGCACTGGACAGCTGTTTCATCCTAGTATGAGACTTCTCAGCAGTGCGCACCCACGACCCCGCCAAGGATCAAACCTGCAGCCTTCAGGTTCCATGGCCAGCACGTTACCATTGAGCTAGCCTCTGGGTCAGAATCCAATAATCCATATTTCCGAAGTTCCAATGAGAAGTCGTGACCGGTGGGGGCAAAGCCTGATGGTAGTGAGGACAGTTACTTAATGATAACATTGGGTGGCGGTTGCGCTATATCGTGAGCTAACAAAAGTTGGAAATGTGGACCATTGGATTCTGACCCTGTGGCTAGCTCAAAGGTAACATGCTGGCCATGGAACCTGAAGGTCGCAGGTTTGATCCTTGGCGGGGTCGTGGGTGTGCACTGCTGAGGAGTTCCATACTAGGATAAAACTGCTGTCCAGTGCTCCCAGGTTTCCTTTGTTCTTCCAATTGATTATCGTTCTAATCTGAGGATGTTAGCACAGGTGCTTATCAATTATATCGTTAATTACACTTGGTGGTACCTGACAGTTCTGTTTTGGCTGTGTATTGTTGAAGTGCTATAAGCTAGTACAATCTGGTTTTCAGGGGTTCTCTAATTGATGTCAACCTGTGCTGAAAACTACAATCTACTCTCTAGGTTATCACCTGAATCAGCAACCAGAAAAATGAGCTCATTTTGCGTCTGATGACGAAGGTCAATCACTGTAGGTTAGTGTTTGTTGATACTTGTAATTTCCTGTTGCTACACTGGATCGAATTGCTCAACCTCTATTAGAAGATGGGCTCCTTTGCGGATGCCTCGATTCTGCTAGGATATTCATTATATTCTAGCCTAGTCACTACAGTGCAGGTATATCCAATTGATGAGTCCCAAAAGGGACGAAACGCACGTCATCAAACACACTACAATATGATGAATATCGAGGCAGTTTCAAAGCATCCGTATTATTATTAATAATAGTTAATAGAATCGATTCTTACTTGGTGAACCCTACCACCGGTAATGGAAAGCCATATGGCAAGGAGCAGTATACGGTCTATAGAAACGACCTTTCTCAATTCCTCCCTCATATAGCGGGAAAGTAATAAAAGTGGAGTGCTGATCATACTCCTGACTAATTATCAGTACGATCGCTCTACTAGATTCCCATTAAGCGAAAGCTATTGACATTTTGATGATAGCTGCTTTCATTCTTACTACTATCCATAGACTTACTCCGCATATTAGGAATTCAAGAAATAAATGATTTAAACAGTACAGCTTGTTCGGTGATTGTGTGATATGGCAAGCTAAATACCACATCAAATAGGTAGCCATTGATCGAGATTACGTACAACAAGACGAAGCTCACCTTTGGATAGGTATAAGCCACAGAATGTACACCTTGACTAGCCATTATTAAGGAAATAAGGATTATTCTCTCTTCTGGAACATCATGTTCAACCAAAATACGCATAGCCATTATAGCAGCAGCTCCAGTAGCCACAGTAGCATCCATGAGAATAACAAAGCAATCCTGAAAATCAGATTGAGAATTGATTAAGGAATGCATAACAACAAAAGAAACTATACCTTTTTTTTCTTTATTACACGGAGAACTAGTAAAAATAATGCAGCTAAAACAAACATAGTAATGGTTAGAGCTGAGATATGAAAAACTTTTTCAGTTTATATAAAATTCATCCGCAAAATATACATATATCCTAGTTTAATGATGTGTTCACTGTGGGTGAAACTTGTTGCTAAGGTCTCTAACCATCGAAGAATCATCAAGGGGTCCTATCCAGTAGACTAGCAACGGAAAATAATAAGCCCCTACAAACAACTGACAGATATTCATTCGGTATAGAACCAAGTATTTCAAATTATTGTTACCAACATGATACAGCTTTAACGATAAGTTACTAAGTTGATAGCAATAATCAACTATATAGATGAGTTCCGCTTTTCTACTGATGTCTTCATGTGGTTATTACTTATGAAAGAATAGTATTGAGAAACTATATAATTCAACCTGTTAACCTTGAATAGATTCATGTAGGTGTACACTATCATGTAGATGTACTGAAGTTCAAAGTGGAATGGATTTAAATCCTTGACTCAATTCATCGATGTTATGTAGTCACAATTGCATCATTATGTAAAATTCAACCATGGAAATCGGTATACAATATCCACTGTGTACCAACAAGTTGAATAGTTAAGCAGCAGAAACTTTACATTCCAGTAGTAATTTTCTGTACAAGTTGTTATTCATCGTAAACTGACATCAGTTGGAGGAACAAAGGAAACCTGGGAGCACTGGACCGCTGTTTCATCCTAGTATGGAACTCCTCGGCAGTGCGCACCCACGACCCCGCCAAGGATCAAACCTGCAGCCTTCAGGTTCCATGGCCAGCACGTTACCATTGAGCTAGCCACAGGGTCAGAATCCAATGGTCCACATTTCCAACTTCTGTTAGCTCACGATTATTGCCAATCTTAACTACTTAGTATACTTTTAATCGATAGCCTGTTCAATATTTTAATACTTTTGTTTACAAATGATTTTCTCTGGTACTTTGAAGTACTTGAGGTGTAAACGAATTAGTTCTGATCATTAAGTAACCTTGAATAAAAGTCATTGACACATATTCTGATCAACCTGTATCGATTAGGTCAATAATACCCAGACCAATTTCGCCTGTTTCTAATGGCAACAGGTGAGTTAATTACTTAAGCACATGGTAAATATCTTACGTCACATACTACAAAATACAAATTAAAAGTGTAAAGTGACTGTTTGAAATTTTCAAGTAAACAACAGAACACCAATGAAGATTAACTTAATTGTTTCACGTAGTACCTTAAACATAATCATAATTGACAACAACTCTACGTCACTAGCTGCTGGAAGTGATTATTAGTGCCTGATCATATCAGAGATCTATTTACAGGATAGAAATAGTTTCTATCCTATAAGTTATAAGTAAGGACTAGTTAAAAAGCTATTTCAAAGGATTAAACAACTTTGTTCATCAGACAAACTGATTGAAGGAATTTAGTTCAGTGAGAAGTGCCTGAAAGAAAATCGTTACTCTAAGAGATTTATAGATAAAGTTAAAATGAAAATAGTAGAAACGAGGGTACTTGATAATTCTGAGAAGAAACCTGTGTTCCTCCATCTCACTTTCAAGGAAGATGAACTGGGTCAACAGAAGAATAGGAACTGTACCAAAAATCACTTTTCTAGCAGCTAAATTAGTTTCTGCATACAAAACAAAGTTTTCACTAAAACAATGGAAAGTAGACAGATGCCCGTCTCATGACACCTTAAATTGTATCTACCAATTCATATGGATATATCAAAGCAAGTATATTGAAAGGAAAGACAGAAGGATTTAGGCTTAAAAGAATCAAAGTGCTTTAAAAATTCCATTAACAAACATCTAATGAAATTAGGATGTGACGTCCACATCTTTAGAGCATTTAAAATAATTGACAAACAATTAACAATTCTAAGCTACTAAGGATTTACAAAAACAATTGTCAATGTAAGAAATCGAGAAAGAGGCAATTGTTAGCCTCCAACTACCATGATAATCAATGATTTCTTTTGTCATTCAGTATAACTTTTTCCAAAATTCTGTATTTTCATTCTCTTTTAAAACCAAATTTATAATCAGTTCCTGTTTTATCTCCATCAGTTTACTACTTGACCCTAATCAACTTGGCCTTAACTCATGTAGAAAATGTTGACTTTATATTTACATAATTATCTTATCACAAACACTTAAGTAATACTTTCTATTCCATTTTGATTGGTCACATATTATTATTATTATTATTTGTCCCTTGGGTTACTAATGGAACATAGGGCTTCAGTAGAACGTCTCCAGTGAACTCTGTTCTCTGAAATCTTTTCAACCTGGCTCCATGATAGCCCAGAAGCTCTCATTTCTTCCTCACACCATCTCATCCATGTCACCCTCACCTCCGACGCCCAACTCGTCGCTTCCCATCTAGGTTCCACTCGAAGGCCTGATCTGCTGCATGATGTCCCCAGTCGGCCTTCTTAGTGTATGCCCAGTTTAATCCATGTCCACTTTCTTCTGAATATGGTCACATATAGCAGGATGATAATTTGACTACATAAACATAACTTCCATTTTAGTCGGCACAAATTACTCCATTTCAACTTTCTTACCATCTGATCTTCCGTATCAAATTTTTCATGTTATGAATTGACTATCATCTTGATAAGTGAATTATGCGGATTTTACTTCTTTCTCTCCCTCTCCCTATATATATATATATATATATATATATACCTTATGAACTGACAGCCAGTAACCAGTTGGAGAGAAAGCGATGAAATACAATGAATTCATCATATTCTCCTAACCTTGTTGTTCTAACTTTGCTAGAAATTTTGAAGGGAACCAAACTGTATGAAACAAATGAATTTATTTGCCACTAGGATAATCTATAGTGTCCTTTATCGTATGGAATCCTTGAAGATAACAAGTTATTTGATTTAAAATGATCCACTTTGCAAATCAGTTACCAAGTTACAAGAGTAAGAAAATCAAACGATAAAATACTAATTGTCTTAAAAAAGTGTATGCTTACCTTAATATCTCGAGGTAATCGAATATAATGCAGTTCAGGTTCACATGTATCTGGATTAGTTTGGATCAAAATTTTACCCAAACGAACATCTTTATATACAGCGCATAATGCAGATTCTAATGCTTCACCTGCTCTTAGAATAGATACACCGCATACCTGAGTACCTGTAGCTAATTGTCGACCACGATAAATAATGCCCTGAGGAGTTTCAATATCCACATCCTTACAAAAATAAAGCGAGAATAAATAGTGAATGAAAATGCTTATATGGTGTGATAGGCTTCTACACAGAATGGTTCCATAAACTAACTGATGTAATACGCTGACTTTAAGCTGTTTAAGTAATTTACCCTAGAAGTAATTAGTATCTATGGTATGAAAATTAAAAATCAAGAAAAAATATTGAATTCTTTGTATACCAGAATATCTATGCCATGATTATAACTGACCTAGCTAGAAATGAAGTGAATATTTGTTATTCAACTCTTTGTTATATATTCTTGAATAATAATAAAAACACCTTAAACTTTTAGTTGTATTCTGTTCTCTGAACTAGGTTGTTTAATCGTAGAGCCTTTCATCATCTTTCTAGACTACATCATCCACAGCAGTAACTTCAGTATAAAGTGAGTTGTCAATATCTCTCCATGAGTGATTTAATAACTTGCCCTGACCAACAGGTTTGTGATTGGTTATTTTCTTTGATTTTTGTGTCATTGACTGCATAGATTTTCTTGTTGGCTGTTCCTTTGCTTGACCTTTCTGTCGTTTATCATTTTTCTTATTGATTGATAGATTGGGTCTATGTCTATGCATCTATTAATTGTTGGCTGACCTGAACGCCAAGCTTTTCTGTCCAGAGGAAACACAAAGAATATCAGAGAATTCCTAGAAGTTTGGCGTTCCGGTTAGTCAACAATCAATAGGTGTATAGACATAGACCCAAATCTATCAACCGATAAGAAAGATGATAAACGACAGAAACTTCAGAGGTCAAGCAGAGGAATAGCCAACAAGAAAATCTATGCAGTCAATGACACAACAATCAAAGGAAACAATCAATCACAAAGTTAGTGCTGACGATGTCGTCGAGGAAAACGATGAAAGTTTCACGATTAAACAACCCAGCTCAGAGAATAGAATAAAACCAAAAACCATCCACCTGAGCTACAAATACTCTCCACCACTTTAGACTTTCTCAATATTAACGATTCTGATATTTTTGTGTGAACATGGCTTACTTTAATAAATCGAGTCAGTCATAGTGCAGCTGAGAATGATTGTATGATTACCCTTTGGTTGTGATCACCTTGAGAAAGTCAACACATGGACATCAATTTGATAAATATTTGTATTCGTGTAAAAATAAGTGCGTAAGTAGTATAAAGGTGACAAATGACCCGCTTTAAATTGGACAATTCATAAATCATAATTCGTTGAACAACCTTTTAGGTATTGAGACCTGTTGAGAAATAATTTATCCGAAAAATTCGATCAAGAAAGACCAGGAAATCTAATACTTTCAGTAGGGGGCATTTTAAATTTCTGTGGAATTCCAAACTAAACTTCCAAAACGTGTAGGCTGAGTGCTTGATCTGTAAAACTGCCGTAGAAAATTTTCGTATACATCATCAATGAGGAGTGATAACAGATACTTCCAAGTTGTTGTCCTTACTACTTTTTCCTTACTAACTGGTGGTTAGATTGAAATTTAGATTTATGGGGGTTTTGAAGTTTGTGTTGTATATTGACATCCAATACTTCATTGGGAATCATAACAAGACCTTATAGTAGTGGAAAAATTTCAAGTAGAAGAAGAGTACAGTAAGAAATGGCTTCTAGTTTCACTAATTTCATATCAATAAACAGAAATGTGTTAAAACATATTTTCAGTTCAAAAAGTAGTATTTGAAAGTGTCTTATTATTCAAAATAACACATATGAGAATACGCACAATAAACATTCCATACAAGAAAACCAATCAATTCATTCTACGCTAGAATGAATGCTTTTAATCATTACCATGTGTGGAAGTAAATTCATTGCTGCTTCACATAGAGGACGCATTAAACGTTCTGCATAGAAAATGAATGCATCTTGATCTGTATCTCGATTACGAAGTAATGTATGCAGACCAAGCCGTTGAGGTGTAGGTGGTAAGACGAGTACTTGAGGTGGAAGGAATAATCTATCAGATGTGCCATTATTATTGTTATTATTACTATTATTGTATTGTCTCGTACCATTACGCTGGAGACTGGATATCTCATTATCATCATCAATATCCTCTTTTGTTCCCATTGAACTATCATCCCAATGTATACCATTGGTATCCATTGTAAAAGTACCAGGAGGAAATTTCGCTAATTCACACCTAGACCGTAATCCGCACTATGCAGTAATAAAAAAAACAAATACCATCATTATTATTGTTATTGTTATTATTATTATTACTGGTGATAAGAGTAATAGTCTAAAAGTTATAATGTTAAATTATTATTTGAACAACAAGAAAGCTGACTTTTAGTAAGTGTAGAAATTGAATAAATCTGAAAAATGAAACACCTTTATCCTGTATCATACCAGGAAAACTGTTGCGCCTACTACTCACATACACTTAAGTGCCTATTGTAATAAACTTTTAGTTATAGCATATACATATCAACAACGATGATGTACGACCACTATTATTATAAGTTAGTAGAATTAAACTATTCAGAGAAGTTTAAATTCTTTACCGTTTGACAGTAATCAGAAGAGATTCAGTATTTTCAGCTTTACCTGAAGATCAGGTTGTATCACTGATACCGTATACTCAAAAAGGGTTAGTCTAAATTGTATATATATCCTGTTCATGTTACTTTCAACTGTGCTTACGAATTTACATGCAATTAAGGTAGTAATTATATATTAGAAGGAATAACTGGAGGGCATTCATTCACTTCTATGAGTATAATCCAGGGAGACGGGGAATTTATGTCTGAAAGGAAGCAAACTTCCTATGAATGCTATTGGCAGATTACAGGACATTAGGTTGATACTTCTAGTGCTCTTAAAATACTGTATAAGCAGAAAATGTCTGAACTATTAGGCTTGACAGAATCGATTGCTACAAATCGCTTTGAATCAGACTTATGTATTATTATTATTATTCCCTTGGGTTCCTAGTGGAACATAGGGTTTCAGTAGCACGCCTCCATTTCACTCTCTTCTCTGCAGTATTCTTTCTTAACTTGACTCCACCACTGCTCCCAAGCTTTCATTTCCTCCCCCCTCACATGATCTCCTCCATGTAATCCTCACCTCGGATACCCAACTTGTCGTTTCCCACTTGGATTCCACTCGACGGCCTGACCTGACCTGGTGCATGATGTCTCCAATCGGTCTTCTCAGTGTATGCCCAATCCATCTCAACTTTCTTCTTCTGAATATGTGTTGGGCGATGGGTTGTTGGTTGGTTCATTCGCAAAGTTCCATGTTGCTTATTCTTATTATTTTAGCCATCTGTCTGACCTTCAGTATGGGGCGAGCGTAGGCGGCAACTGTTGATGAATGTCTGTAGTTTGTTGGAAGTACTTCTCGTAACGTGACAAGTTTCTGAACCATATAAAATCACTGATTTGAGTGACATTGGTGTTGAAAATCCGGACCTTATTCACGCTTTATGCTGAGTGCAGCAGGTCTCTACACTGATTTCAAATTAATGAAAACCAGTCTTACTCTTCCGATCCTGGCTTTGATATCCTGTGCCGCCGCCTATAGTTGAAACGATGCCACCTAGGTAAGTAGGTAGGTGAAAGAGACTACTTCCTTTACATTTCTTCCGTTCATGGTGATTGGTGCTTGTTGTTGATGCTGTTGTTCGTTGGGTATCTTCATCACCTCCGTCTTCCCTACATCCACTAGAAGTTCCGCCTTAACTTTCCTGCCCCTTCTGTCAACTTGTTGGTTTTCGCCTGTATATCTTCGAGTTTGTGCAGTATTAGACATTAGACATAAATCATCATCGGCGAAATCCAAATCTTCTAGACTCTTTCATCGGTCAAACAGCGTATGCCCGTCCTCTAACTCCTCACGGTTTGCTGCATGATCCAGTCCAGTCGACCACAATCAGGAAGATAATCGGTGATAGTAGGTGACAACCTTGTCTCACTCCTGTCTTCACTTCAAAGGCATGACTGAGCTGTCCATTGTGAATCACCTGGCATGTGGCGTCTTCATATAGCTATTGAATGAGGTTGATAAATATTTGTAGTACTAAAACTGTAGTGTTGAAGCAGCTGCGTGTCAATTAACTTCTCAGTCGACGCTGTCGAAAGCCTTTACAAAGTCGATGAAGTTGAGGTTGAGTTGAGTTGACTGCCATTCTATACTCTTCTATGATGATGCGTAGCGTAGCGTTGCAATTTGATCAGCACATGATTTGTTCTTTCTGAAGTCAGCCTGTTCCGGTAGTAATTTAATCAGACTTATGTAATGTGAGATTTTTTATATCTTAACTACATGATACTGTATTTTAATCGCCTACTAATTTCAATTGACTGACTTAATCTCAATCTAACGGCTGATATTTCTTTGCATATTGTGTAGCTCATATTAATTGTTGCGTTTCTTATATTTGTGGCTGCTTTGTACAATTCTTGACCTTCCCTACTTCATGACGCATGAACTAGCAGTGATTTTGATGAATACCGGATGGTTTTTGTTTTCGCAATACTTGGCATACCCTAACTTTACATTACTTTATCGAACATTTTTTTGTTAAAGTGTATCATGATAGAATTCCATTCCGATAACCACTGTAATTTTAAACTATAGGTAGCTGGTGAATACTCGTGAAATAAAATACCATTTTATTCTGCATATCTCTAGTCCCTTTCACTTTGTCTAAGTTTATCAAAGGAACCAAATACAATATCATATCATCTTGTGTTAGGTGTAGATCAAATTCTATTGACTAAATGTGCATAGTGATCTACAAACTGCGAAACTCCCCACTGTAATGAGGTATGATTGACGTTAGAGGCATTGGAGGTAATCAAAAGGAAGCCTTGAATACTTCAGTGGTAATGCCTTTGATTGGAGCACTGGGAGACACAAATTCCAGAGCACATCAGAGTAATGAAGGTTGTAGACACACCTTGTTAATAGGTGCTAAATAGCACGAATCTTATACCCAGGACATCCTATCGATCACTTTCAAAGATTGGAAATAGGCTAACTACTGTTCCTTTGAGCTTAAATAGAAACATACAAAATGAAGGTTGTTGGGATGCCTGAAACTGAGTGAAACGATTCAAAATCGTATTATTCTGCATCAAAATACTCTAAAACATATCAGTCAATAACAAGATATATACGCTTAGATATAACAATAAAATTTACCTGTTTTAAACGTTTATTGATGTGTTGAACAATAAGCTGCAAAGCAACAACATTCTTTCCTCCTGAAATGATGAAAGGATCATTAAAAAAGTAAAGCTGATACGCTTGAAACAACGTAGCGGAAATGAATGTTTAAATGATAATCTGATCAACAATAAAGGTCAAAACACTATCCGTGCACAGTATTCCATTAAGTAATTGGTACCTACAATGACTGACTCTAGTTTGAGTAGGTAAACAGTTAACAAGTTCTGAAAGATCATTTGCACATCATATACAGACATGTTGACGAAATGTCTCATATTTTTAGACAATACTGACTAATGAATGAGAAAATAGACTTTCGGGTGAAGAAATATATTCCCTTTTAATTAGGTCTTTGTTTTTAGCTTTACACTAATATATAGGTTTACAATTCATATCAAAATACCGACCAAGTAGTGGTGGTGGCGCTAGTGAGGTGGAGAGCAGTTGACAATAACTATAACCTTTAAGTGAGTTATGAAGGAATCAAGATGTGACTAATCGACAGAGTAATTATACAGCGGTAAAGGTAGTAATTACAATAACACGGAAAATATTGTTCTTTGGCAAACTGCATAATAACTGATAGAGTAAGTAAAGTGTTCCATTGACTGGTCACTGAAAGGCAATCAATTCCATGCAGTCTAGTCCTGAGTACACACCGAATTCTGTCGATCATTTTGGAATGTGGCCACCAAGCTAGGAGGCTTCCCATCGCGGTGTATATTGATGGATGTTAATTAACTGGAGGCAATCAGCAGGAAGCTTTGGACCTAGGTTTCATGATTGTTGGGACTCATCAGTAAGGCGTATCTGGAACCGCACAGGAAATGATGTCCACTCCGAGATTTAGACCCATACCACACAGTGTTGAAGTCAGAGAGCTATTTGGACCGTGACTGACCTACAGGACTGCATGAGGAGCACTAATTGGTCACTGGAGGCCAGCCAATTCCATAAGCCGACCGAATTCTATCGACCATTTTTTAGAGTGGTCAGTCATAAACAGTAAACAATCAATCACGTTAGGATAAGAAAGCAAAAGAATATTAATAAAACACAAGAGGGAGGACGGGTAAAAAGTAATACTAGAAATTACATCATATTGACGGCTATGGTAAGTGGCTGGACAAATTTATTTTGAATACAACGGTTAGGTTTATAAAAATAGATTGAAATCGCTTCTGCTAGGTAAAGTAGACGAATGTACAATCCATGTAGTAAGTACCCAATAAATCATTCTAAATGCTCATATTATGACTAATAATCTAGTCAGTAAAGTTGTTTGATGTTTTATGACCTTTGACATTTGGTTGTCGAAGTTTCATCACCAGACCTGATGACATCATCACCACTAACCTTGAAATTCGCTCATTTCATATGACCATCTTTGCAACATAATATGGATTATTATCAAGATGGTGATACAAATGAACAAAAAACATAACGACATAGGAACTCATGCAACAGCAAAACAAGAAATTCAAAATATAAGAAGAATACTACAATAAGTGGTAATAAAGGCATAGGTGAAACTGGAAAAACTGAACGAATAATAATAAGATAGTGATAGATAGTGATAGGAAAGAACAAAGAATACCTTTGCACTGGTTGTCAGTCATCACAGTAGACGCTTTTGACCATTGATTACCACTTTGTTCAGAACTTCAACCAAGAAGCCCACAACCTAGTCAAATCAAGTCAGTAGATTTATGAATTAATGACGCGTCTGTGTCTAGCAACGTTTAGCCTTTTTCTTGACTTACTCATACATCAACTAACACTGTACTTTGGAGTGCTCTATGGATCAGTATGCTCAACATTTATCACAAAAACCTCAGCTGATGGAGTTTCATTACGTTATCAACAGACTTACCTTATTCAATATGATATTGTATACCAAATCTCCAAGTTAGTCATTTGCTAGTTACACTACAAACAAGCAATGTTACCAAGACACTTGTTATTAAATATCTCTCACTTCCACACCTCATTTACATTTGACAGTCAAGTTGCCGTTGTACAGTGAGTTGAAGAAGAAGGCCAGTTCATATACTCGCCTTGTGTAATGGATTCCAAAACTTCCTATGAATATCAAGTTATCGTTATATAAAGCAACAACTCCACATAACCTCTTATCTAATGTTTGTACTTTCAAAAGTGTCTCATCAAGATAGTTGTCATCACTTGTAATATAATTCAATCTTAAGTATGTTTAACAAATAAGTTGAGTTTTATTCTACCCAAACACTAGGCTGTAGGTGAGGATAATATATAACTCAGAATCCACAGGATGAAATTTGAGCCCATAAGTCAAATCTCTGCATCAATCACTTGACGAGATAGAAAATACACAAACGAAAGACAGCCTTGGATGTAAAAGTGTTCAATACGAACAGTTTTTCTATGCACTGAGAGATTATATTCAAGTCTTTACTAGTGAGTGGATCACCTTTAAAGAAACGTTTATCTTTTGAGGTGACAAGAAAATGCTCTATAATGAAACTGAAACATTACTACAACTACAAAGAGATTTCGGTATCATGATGATGATAGTGTTAAAATACACATTGGTGAAAAATAGAAAATTATACAGATTAAATAACAATAAATAATGGTAGAACTATGAACATAAAAATTTTATATGATTTCAAAGAATGTGATACCTCTTGGTATAATAATATCTGCTTGAGCCATACTTGGAGCAATAAACTGTTCATAAGATGGTTTAACAAAACGTGTATACTGGCTTAGAACACCATTCAACTCTCTTCCACGCTCAGTAATATCACGACGAAGACGACGAGCTAGGCGTTCATCAGCATCAGTATCAACGAACACCTTCAAATCCATTAACTATTTAAGGAAGATAAATATAAGCATAAGAAGAAGGAAAGGTTAAGGAATAACGGTGTTTTAACCAGCAGCTATGAAAAAAAAGACTGTCGAACGTCTGTTTGGATCATGGTTGAATTAGAGTAGAAATTGCTTATGGCGGTTTTAATAAGTATGAAGGATAGCTAATGAATCAACTGTATGATCAACCTAACTGATATCTAGAATGGTTGCTCCCTTAAGTCTTGTAGTTCTTGATGAGTCGGTTGATGTGACTTGAAGAACTCAATACCATAGTGTTAGAAATTGCAGTCAAATAAAACAGAACTAAAATTTTTACACTATATGGTCATCACTAACTTAGCTATAAATTTGCCCAGCCTGATTTATAAGAAAGTGGGATAAAAAGGAATTGCAGAGGTGAACCCATGGTGTAACCGAATCGACAACTACATTCCTGAAATATGAACAAAACAATAGCGTAGATGTTGCCCCAAAAGGTGTAACCACACAATGCTAACATTTGAGGGTTTTCTTAATCTTGAATTTCTACTTCGATAGTACACTTTATCTGCAATCAAATTCAATCAAATCACTAGAAAGTAACCAATTTCATGCTGACTAATCCTAAGTGCTGACCAAATTCTATCGATTATTTTGGAATGTGGTCACCAAGATAGATGGCTATGTATCAGGATGTAATTGTATAGATGTTAGGCAGTTGGGAGGTAATCAGTAGGAAGCGTAGGACACAGGTTTCATGCTTGTTGACACTCATTAGGGGACAACAGTTTCGTCAAGGTTGTAGATAAGTCTTGCTGACTAGTGCCAATAAGCACAAAAGTTAGATCCGAGTCTTCTTGCCGATTGTTACCAACCATCTAACTCTACACACTGCGCATAATTGTTTATGCAACGCACATGAATACCGTATCAGTGATTATCAGAAAGCAAACGAATCAAATTCTTGGATATTCCACATACTGATATATATACTGTTTTTCTGAAATTATCCATACATGACGAAACCTTCAGCATCGCTCACATCGAAAACCAAGAATCGTTGGTTTTAGTTGTAGACTGAACAATGAGTAAAACAATAAAATGCAATCTTAACTAGATTCCAGGTGCTTTTAAGCTGTTCCACTGAATGCTTCAACTATCATTAAAAGAAAATCATGTATCAATTGATCAGTAGGATAGAGACTGGCTGAATAAAATGCTATGAAAATAATTTAATTGATTACAAGTGCAACAGCTGAGCTTAAAATATCAAAACGTTATTCATAGTAAAAACAATTATTAAGTTGTTTTTTTTAGACAAATGGGGATTTTTTTAATTTAGAAGTAGTATTCATCATGGACTGATATCAGTTGGGGAACCATTGAAGATCTGGGAGCACTAGACAGCTGTTTCGTCCTAGTATGGGACTCCTCATTAGTATGCACCCACGACCCCACTGGGCAGGGATCGAACTCAGGACCTTCAGGCCTCACGGCGAACACGTTAACCATCCAGCCACTGGGTCGGTTTTCAGTGGTTCACAATCTCCAACCTCTGTCAATTCACGATATAGCGCGACTATCACCCAAGGTCTTCAGTTAGCATCCACTTCACTTCCGACTGGTTGACCCCACAGGTCACGACTTCTCATCAGAGCTTCGTGATATCCATCTGGAAGCAAGTCACTAATGAGCACTATACAGTAATGTATTTTTTCGTGAACCACTGAAAACGACCAAGTGGCTGAATGATTAATGAGTTCGCCGTGAGACCTGAAGGTCCTGAGTTCGATCCCTGCCCAGTGGGGTCGTGGGTACCTACTGCTGAGGAATCCCATACTAGGACAAAACAGTTGTTCAGTGCTCCCAGATTTTCAATGGTTCCCCGACTAATATCAGTCCATGAAGAATACTACTTCTAAATTATTAAGTTCATTAGATACTGTCGGAAAAAATAAAACATCAGTATAGATAGATAAAAAGAGAAAAAGCTGAGAAACAAAAAGAAACCAGTAAAAATTTTGAGAATAATCAGTGCAGTGAATTTTTTCAAAGTATTCCCTATTCAAAATGGAAGGTAGTCTTCTTCAAAAAGGGGTGGATCACAACAAAACGATTCATTATGATGTGAATGATTAGCTGATGAAGAACTATTTCAAATATCAGAATAACTGAAGGAATTCGACCAGGAATACGATCAACAACTTGTGCCTCTAATTTAAATAGGAACAAAACCACACTTAACTAGATAACCAAAAAATAAAAACACTAGTCCAACACCAAAAATAAGAAGAATATCATTGTGGTACCAGCTGACAGGTAAAAATGAAGTATTGATTCAGAAAGTAGATCTAGTTAAAGATGAGAGTGTATATCAACCAGTTGTCAAAAATCCCATTCACACATCAGGTTGTGACAGAGTGGTGGGGTTGTGTGCGTGGGTATAATGATACTGAGATTCAATAGACACCTCAACTGAATACCTTTACGACTGACCTCCCCCAGTACCTTCTGCTTCAATGAGCCGCGGAGAAATCAGAAGGCAAAGGCGGCCTGTGACTGCAAGAACAGTGGCAACTTTTATCAGTAAAATACATGACATATATGTATTTACAAAACTCTCAGAAAGTGAAGCCATAAATGAACCAATCCGATTTCTTGTACAAGGTCGAACTTCTCCAATCAGGTTCTCACGTCAGCGCATGCATAAATCATGACCTGAACATGATTTGATCATGACTTGAAAACAACTCCCCTATTGGCTACCTTTTTGTCCCTACATATCAATAAGGATCGAAGAAATTGATCGAAGTAGAACAAATCATGAGACATGATCACCAATTCTATGGCAAACTCAATTTACACAAAATAGACATCTCTCCTTATAGATTATTAGTATTACACCTAGAAACACTAGCCTATAATCAATCCAAAGAGCTCACAAAACTGAAACAACTGGTTGGAAGATGTAACCAAGTAACTGGACGAGATCAAAGGTATACAGGTAGACAGGGACGAAAGTATGGGACTTTTTGATATATAGCTTGATTAACTAACCTCAAATGGATAAAAGTTGACGAAAAAGTCATGAGTTATCTACACGGAAATCAAGTAAATCCTTCAACCCTCAAGTTCAATTGAGTATAATGACTTACATCATACTGTCAATTCTCAGTTAGAGTGCAAAATATACGAACATGTAAGGGGACCCCCCCCCATTGGGCCTTATTGTAGAGACAGTAATCCAATGGCTGAAGTTTATTACTCTGACAAAAAATATAGCCAAAGATTTGTATATGGTATAAAATGACACTATCACTAAAGGAAGGAATGAACTTGACAATAGAAGACGAAGAAGAGTACTAGTCTTTTTTTCTGGATATCTTTATCAGTAAAACGAAGACCAGTCAATTCAAAGCAATTCTTAAACTATATTGACAGAAAGCCAGCATCACATAAAATAAGCTCTTTATGAGTGTTATTCAACTAAGAAACAACATATTGTAGTACTTATCGTAGACTGACATCAGTTGGAGGAATAAAGGAAACCTGGGAGCACTGGACAGCCGTTTCGTCCTAATATGGGACTCCTCAGCAGTGTGCACCCACGACCCCGCCAGGGATCGAACCCACGGTCTTCAGTTGTCCAGTGCTCCCAGGTTTCCTTTGTTCCTCCAACTGATGTCAGTCTACGATGAATAACAACTTGAAATATTTTCAAATCTCTACAACTTCCTCAAAATTCATATTGTAGTACATTTTCCTCCCAAAGGATTGGAGACAAACAATCAGCGCTTATACGATACGAATATTCCTACGGGATTGTTAAAGATTCGATTAAATCCAATGCTAACTGAGGAATAACTTTCATTATATACTCCTTTACGTTAAGAACACCTTAGAAACCACTACTCAACACCATAAGCCATATGACATCAACATTTCCAACAAGTCAATAAAGTAGTTACAGGAAGATAAGCTAGATAAGAGATACAAAGTTAGTTGCAAGAACCAATCATAACAACAAGTTGGATAAAATGGCCGGTACTTTCGATTTCGCTGATACTGATAACAACTACCAATCAGATTCTACGATGTATCATTCAACTAGCACCAACGCAAATAGGCAACAATGATTATGAAATTAGCTGAAAGAACGTGAAAATCTTGAACTGAAACATCCTGAGCAAGCAAGAGACTACTTTGAGGCTTGTTATGGGAGTTAGCTAATGATTAACAGATACACAGATATGAATCATATCTACTAACCGAACAATTGAATTAGTCAACATAGATTGGAGAGATCGGTCAATTATAGTACTTAATAGGAAGGTGAATCACGCTCAAGGTTCCTACTGGTTGACTAATAAGGTACCAGTTTAGATCTACTAAACAGCGAGTTTGTGAATAAATTGAAATCACCTACCAATAACAATGGAATAACAAATTGTATATCTTTAGTCTTCCTGATGACTCCTCTAACACTGATCCTCAGGCAATACAGATAACTTTATCAGATTTTCACTTGGCTTACTCAACACATGAGCCTGCACTCAATAAACTCTGATTTAAGAATGACTTATTCCAAGTTGTCAAAGGACGAAGTACATTATAAGGAGGCAGTAGGCACCATAAACATCTTTCTCACCTAGTTTACTTCCAACGGATGCATATCAACATTGTTCACCAGAACAAATCATAGTATTATGCTGTTGAAAGGGAACTTCAAAAAACAGTACATCATCAAGATCAACATAAGACCAGGCATTACTGCGTAACGAGCCAAGTTGCCACACTTCATTTCACTACAACAAGTAACAAGGCAATAAAATGGAAGATGAAGAAGTTAAGAAAAATCGGTCAAAAGGAGTAGAAAGTAGTAGAAGAGAGAAAGGAGGAATGAGAAAATGATGTGATTAAGTATAGTGGTTAAGATGAGGACAATGTGTGTAGACATCTGTGCCACTGACATCGGTTCTGAGCTTTATCACCTGGAGTCTCTAATCAGTGTTTTCTCTTGTCCAGTGGACCCCAACCGGCTAGTCTAGATCATCCTACATGCCTCAAACGAACAGTCAAGAACTTCATGCATTGATGCCATGTTTTAGTTTGGCCACCTCGAGCCTTTTTCAGCCTGAACCTACTTTGGCCAACATTGTGCGACGAGGCAGACTGTGGTTAGGCATACGTAACGCATGTCCCCGCCATCTCAGTCGATGAGCGTTCACAAGCGTATCAACAGACTTACCTTTCCTCCACAAAACTGTGCCCTTGACTTCTGCGTTACTCATGCGGTGACACCACGAAACACGGCCAATGCTACGAAGACAATGATCGTCAAACACCTGAAGCTTTCTCATGTATTCTACCTTTAAAGGCCATGTTGCACAGCCGTACAGTAGAAAACAGCAAACTGCAGCAGAGTAAACTCGACCTCTAACAGACAATCGGATATTGCCGCGGCGCCACAGATGGCGTAAGTTGGCAGGAGGCAACCGAGCCTTTTGTATCTATGCAGAGATTTTGTTGGCCAGTGAGCCACAGGTAAGTGAAAAGTTCAACGCACTTAACTACTTCACTTTCTATAATTGGGCGCTGACAGGGTTGTGAAGGGGTTGATACTTCCCAGCTCCCTTCACACTGGAAGGTTAGGTCATCTTGTGGTTGGTTCGTGGCCGAAGAGCCTGGGAGACATCTGCTTGAAGTCGGTCACGTATGACTTTTTTGATGACACGATGATTGGCCTGCACTATGAGAGATGTAGTCGGATATAAGTCCTGTGGTTCTGGATCATCACTAACCACCGGTAACTGATGTAAGCCACTATAATGCATCATCTCTTTACTTCAGAACATTTTGTCTAACCACTATCGAACAGATCTTTCTGGTATGGTAGGACTTCGACGGAATAAGCGTTCCATCATTGTAGCCCATTGGGTCATCGTGATACACAAGTCCGATCCCCACGTCAAGATAACAGCTATTGGTCAGGAAACACAATTTAGTGATTTGTAGTACAAAAAGACAATAAAGAATTACTTTCAACTGAAATGCAACAGGAAAAGCATACATTAACATAGGAAGAACGAGTAGAGATGTAATATATATATATATATATATATATATATATATATATATATATATATATATATATATATATATATATATATATATATATAACATACCTTTGTCACTGCTTGTGAATAGAACGCCAAAATTCCCTCAATAATGATAATATTAGCCCCGTAAACAGTATTCTATTGAAATAAACACAATCAAAGATTCAATAGGATCAATTAGTAACAACATCAATACACTGATTATGATAAATAGGGAAGCTTAGCTTAGAGTCCTTTCCTTAGTACACTACATCATCATTTTCACCCTAGTACAAACAAAAATTATGTGAATTCTAAATCAAGCAGATTTTATTATTGAGTATGGTTAGAATACTGGTGAAAAGCATCGAACGGTAAGCATTACTTTGCAGTAAACACCTTATCAACTAAAAAGAATACAGAGACCGTGGGATGTCAAGCGCTGGCCAATAAAAATAGAAAAGTTAAGTAAGATCCTCAAAAAGGTTGGGATCACAGTGATATTTTAACTGAAAAACCTACTTAGGAACAATCTTGTACGGTTGAAAGATGTTACTGAGTAAATCAAGCAGAAATAATTTGGTATAATTGTTTTGAAATGCGCAACCTGGATTCCACTGCTAACCACTAGCCATCATTACCAGAAATAATTTGTTTGATCAAATCTCCTGAAGTGACTTCAGTACTAAATATATCAGTAAAAGTTATCGATTAGGCTTGATTAAGCTATCCGAACACAGACTAATCAATATTAGTAGACCCTAGTAAGATAATGAATCTACAGAAAAACTTGGCTACACTTATATGCAGGAGAGCAAAGTGACAATGCTAAAATCTGAGTTAGTTGGATAGAAAGAGAAATTGGTCACTGAATTTTTTGCTGACTAAATCAACAGCAAACAAATGGAGTAGGGTTGATTTAGCGTCTGAGAAATTCTACTTTCTATTTCCTAAACAAGAAGGAACTAGAATCATATGAAACGCTATTTACATGTGTCAACTTGCCTTGATACACACCACTGGAGGATAAGTTAAGTCTGAAAGGCAATTTACTGAAAAGTTTTACGGTAAACGATTTATTTTGTTGTGTAAGTATATATAATAAACAAACTGGATTTTTTTTCAAACTTTTATGACACACTTATTTACAGGATCTGCTTACCACTACTAGCTGTTGACTCCGATGGTCAAAGAAGCATATCTATACACAGAAAATTTAATGAGTACTTTCTGTTTAGTGAAGAACTGTCTAAAGACAACCAATTCTCCATGTGTACAACAACTAAAATGGCACACTTTGCTTCTTTTTTTTATTATTATCAGGATCTATATTATACAGAACAACTCCAAATTTATATCACTCTATATACGGTAAACAGTAGTTAACATGAATACCTCTTTGAGCACTCAACAAGATTCTTAGAATGTAGAATTACACGAACAGGAAATGGGTGGTTTTAGGAATATGATTCACTATTAATTTGCCAACAAGTTATGGTTTTTTTATTGGTCTAAGTGATCAACTTTCACACAATCCATTATGAGTTTAAGTTGTATCCCTACTTACTGACTTTTGAACAGTAAGGTAGTACCATTGACGTTCACATAGTGTGCATAGTTTATGGTGTAATACATGAACCTTTACATGGATTATGAGTTGCATATTTGTCATTTGTACACTTGATATAGTACGAAAGTACTATATAGTGCTATATAACGATAACAATAATAATAATAATCACTTTACTTCGGATATAAATTAAAGGGGCTGTGATCCAATGATTTACGGATTCGACTTTCAACTACTGGACAATAATATTGTATTTATCCTGGTGAGTGGTGGTAGAGCCCATGAGGTGTATTTCATCTATTTGGAACTCGTCAGCCGGATGTACCAGCACCCCAGTGAATGTCGTTCCCACTACGGTCGAGCAATTCGAACTAATAAACCGATGAGGAATTACAAATAGCAAACGACAACTGATATCCATTGCACAAGAGATTTCTCTCGTGCTCCAGTGGCCTAATGAATAGCGTTTCGGCGTTTTAAGCGACGGGTACTGGGTTCGAGTTTCAGTGGGAACAATACTCACTGGGGTGCAGGTATATCCAGCTGATGAGTCCTGTATAGGGCGAAACGTGCATCAAGCTAGATTCCACTGCTGATCACCAGGATGAATACAACATCATGAATATCCGATAGTATCGAGGCATCTGTATAAAAGTTCATCTACCAACAGAGGTCGAGAGCAATTAGACTCTGTACAGCAACAGGAAATCACAATTAGCAAACATCTACTGGATGGCAAGTTTAAATACTGCTCTACCTGCCGATATTTGAGTAACCAGATGGTATCATAAGTTTTCACATAAAACAAAGAGTAATACATAAAGGTGTATATACATATTTTTAGTCATTTTATTATTATCTTACTACAAAAACACTCATTTCAAGCATCAATGCTGTAGTACATTCAACATTCAAGAAATTGAAGGGCGAAAAGTTTCCCTATTTCACAGTATATAAGAGAGAAAGTTTTGTGTATTTTCACACAAAAAAACAATGAAGCACATCTATTGTATGAGAGTTAATGATACTACCTGGCTGCTTAAACTTCGGTAGGCGGAGGTGAGTTTGAACGCATAACTCATCAGTTGGGACACGTACTACGTATGCGTAGTCACCGATTGCCTCGTCATACAATGTTGGCTGAGGTGGGTTCAGGCTGGAAAAAGGCCCGAGGTGGCCAGACTAAAACATGGCACCAATGTATGAAGTCTCTGACTGTTGGTTTAAGCCATGTAGGACGATGCAGACTAGGTGGTTGGGGTCCACGGGACAGGAGGAACCAGTGGTTGGAGACCCTAGGTGATATGGCTGAGAACCGATGTCAGTGGCGCAGACGTTATACACACATTATCCTCATCTTAACAACGCTATACAGAATCTCACTATTTTGTCACTCCTCTTTCCTTTCTTCTCGTACTTTATATTTCTTTTGACTGCATTCACTTATCTTCATCCTTCACCTCACTACCTTTTTACTTGATGTGCTGATATGAGATGTGGCAACTCGGTCAGTTACGCAATAATGCCTGGTCCTATGTTGGTAATGATGATGATGATGACTCATCAGTTGAAAATCACTGAATGTTCAGATCGATAAGTCACATGCCCACTTACACTATGAACAGAAAGGGTCGAACTTTTAATCTATCCCCTTACTAGCACTTTTTTTTTAAAAAATAAAAAAAAAAGAGATACGTTATTAAAAATCTAAAATTTGACATGATATGAAAAATGTATCAAAGGTAACAGATTCAAATTACCGTTTTCAATGTACGTGAGTGTGTTTTAAAATCATATTCAGGTACTTCTATAGATTTACCCTCACGTAATCTACATAAATGATTCTCAAGTAGATCAAAATCAAAAGCATTCGGATGATCAAAGTTATATTTACACTCATCAGCCTGAACTTTTTGTTCTGGATTAAGAACCTACAGTAGAAAAAAAAGTTTAATGTATGACAATATAGACAATAAAAATACTGAAGGAATGAAAAATATTTTCATAAGAGATTAAGCTTTCAATCAGCTCATTGGATTGATATTTGTCAACGATTCAACATCAAAAGATAAGTATCCAGAGTAGTAGTCTAGTGGATCTATGTAATCTTATTCGAACTAATTGAAGCATCAAAGTTCACTTCAGTTGACTTTGACTATAACGAAGGAACGGATACGGATTTTCAACACCAATCCAGTCAAGTCAGTGCTTCTGTATGGTTCAGAGACTTGGCGCGTCACGAAAGGGATTTCCAATAAACTACAGATATTCATCAATAACTGCTTACGCTCGCTACTGAAGATCAGATGGCCAGAAAGAATAAGCCACAAGGAGCTCTGGGAACGAACCAACCAAGAACCTATCACGCAACAAATATGCAGGAGGAAGTGGAGATGGATTGGGCATGCACTGAGAAGGCCGACTGAGGACATCACGCGTCAGGCCAGTTGCTCGAGTGGAATCCCCATGGGAAGCGACGAGTTGGACGTCCGAGGGTGACATGGAGGAGGTCGTGGAGCCAGGTTCAAAAGATCTCAGAGAACAGGATGAAATGGAGACGTGCTACTGAAGCCCTATTTTCCACTAGGAACCCAAGGGACTAATAATAATAATAATAATCACGAAGGATGAAGAGTTTGTATAATAATTGTGCATAGTGCGCGGTAAGAACAGGTGTAAATAATACAGAAGGAACCGAAATTACATGGCATATGCTAGATATTCACAGACTAGTCTCAAAAGCTCAATGGTTAGTCAGGATATGGACAAGATTATCCTTCACAAATTCACAAATTAGACGACTAGCAAGTTGGGTGAAACAGCCTATCTTTTATATAGTCATACATCAACTAACTTCGCACTCAACCACAGATGGAAATGGATATTGATTGCAGACTTGCGAATCTTACCGCAGTTGCCAACCTGAAATGTGACTGGGTAGAAGCACCTTACAGTCTATCCCTAGACTTCTGAAGATTGAAGTCAATTATTAGTCTGGATGAGGCAGTAACTATAATATGAGGATGTTAGATTGGTACTGATCATTTATCACCTCCAAATAGGATAGATATTTAAGTAACAACGATAACCGAATAAGTCTCATCAATATGATTATACGGTCCACAGTTAGTCAATACTGAATAAGTATCTACTATTCACCTGAGTTTAAAACACAGGTATACTAGCTAATACCTACACTGACTATAATGATTTTATCTAAGAGCATTCGTCTTTACCAGTGCAGAAGCCTTTTGATAGTAAAAGGCTTTCAAAATAGCGACTGAATAAGTAAGTTAACAAGTAGGGTTATACAGCCAGCCAGCCAGCCAGTCAGCCAGCCAGCCAGCCAGCCAGACGGATAGATGGACAGATATATAGACAGATGTATAATTAGTAGAAGTATACTCTAAGAACAAAACAATACCGTAACTTTATTAACGCCTTCAGGAAACTTACATATAGAAACGGAATCCCCACTCGACGTGAAGACAGCAGTACTCATTTGTGATTTCAGACTATGGATCGAAATTTCAGTCAACAAACTAAATCATGGCTTAAAGTATGACGCAGCACTTCAAGTTGTCATTCATCGTAGACTGACAGTTGGATACGATATTAAGGCAGATACAGACACAGTTAAACTCAGTAGCCTCTAAAACTGTTGGAATATTACTTGTAGACAAAGCGAAGGATTTCTTCAACTTACGATCAGTGAACACTATGGAAATGAAGCCATTAGTAAGGAAAAGTAATTACTCAAGAGGTGTTCTGCTCACCAACAGCGCATTTTAAGTTCGACTCTAAAGCATTTGAAAGACAAGATCCCAAAACGACTATGAACTATTGTACCATGTAATGGAAAGTCTCTAGTCGCCTAATTCTGAATAAGATTTGCAGTGAAGTAGGTCACTGAAGTCTGCTTTAAATAACCTGATAGAGTTATTACGTTGTAAGTACACTTGACTTGTCTTCTAATACTTTGATGTTCAACAATCCTTGTACATCTTGTCGCTGAGTAGTCGGATATAAGAGATCCCACATAATTTTAAAGTAACTATATAGTTTGTCTACTTAATCCTTAACATCTATGTTTCTAGGATACTATTAAAGACTTTATTAAGTAATAGCATATCTATGATCCATTTCCGCCTTCGTTGAAATGCTACATCTGAAACAAACAGGCATGATAATCTCTCATAGTATATTGTGAGGATGTAATGTCTCTCAAGCCTATTCAGTGGAAAACTTGTGGATAATTTACGTTTTCTCAATTTTAAAATGAAGCAGATTTGCGTATATGCTTTATCTAACTACAATGATTGGTTCATCAAAAAGATATCGATTACTCCGCACACACAGACACATATCAACACCTGGATGAAATTAAAAAGGGAATAACCAAAATGTAAGGTGATTCCTCATTTATAAACAATTACTTCTGTCCATAAGATAACAGCTACGTAGATGTAAGGCACAGTGAATTCTTTTGAATAGATATCAGACAAACCTAACAGGATGAGAGTAATTTAAAGTCTAACCAGAGTTTAATGACTGTGACCCTTAGAGCTCAGGTTGTGTAATATAAACTGATTGACTAGCTGATAAAATCAACGTAAAACTTTGCACACGAATGTATCCGCTCAAGTTACCCCACTTTACAGAAGTACACAAAGAACAGGTGAATAGAAAAGGAATGATATCAAAGTAGATAAAATAGTGTGAGAGAATAAACAACCTAGAGATAAACGTTAGTGTGAACATTCAAACTTTAGAAGTTATCAGTGAGTAAATGCATCTGCACCATTGTGACCAATTTTCAGCCACGTCACCAAGAGTCCACAACCAGTGATTCCATTCGGTTGGAGGACTAACCAGGCAGTCTACATCTCTACACACGGCTCAGACCAACAGTGAGACCTCATCGACTGGTATCAGGTCTTGGTCTGGACACTCTCAACCCTCTTCCAACCTAATCCAACTTTCCACAGCACTGCACGTCGAGGTAGGCGGTGGCTCGGCATGCAGCACAGTACGTATCCAAACTATCTCAGTCGATGAAGGTTCATAACCTCATCAATCGACTTGCCTGTCTTGTCTAGTACCATTCGCCTGACTTCAATATTGCTCATACGGTGATTCCACCAAATTCAAACAATGCTACGAAGACATCTCTGATTAAAACCCTGTAATCGCTTCACGTCCTTTACTTTTAACAACCATATCACAGCCGTACAACAGGAAAGAACCGACCGCTGCGCAGTATACTCATCCACTGATAGATAGTCAGACACCTCTCCAGTCGGCATCATATATGATGCAAGTTGGCAAATGTTTAAATGGTCTTCGTTATCCAAGGTGAGATTTCGTCGCCAACCGACCCGTCCCGCGGGCTGATGCAATTCCTCAAGCGAAGTAGTCGACATATTCCAACACTTCATTAACCTGGGCGTACATGCAGCAGATCAGTCATGCAGCATCATCTTACATTTGACAGATTCGAAACACATACCAAATATACTCAGATTTTTGATCGTGTCCAGAAGACTCTGCAGTTTTTCAGCATCTTTATCTAGCAGGATAACACCGTTTACGTACTCCAAGTCAACTAGATGTCTTACAGGGAGCAGATCAATCCCTGTGAAGTCAGACGCCTAAAACGAAGTTTAATAAAAACGGTGATAGTGGACATCTATGGCGAACATAACTAGTTGTCATCAATTCATATGACAACTCTCCGTAAAACCTTACACACCTATCTGTTTGGAATTCGAGTAAAGAGCTTTGATCAACGTTATATACTTGTTCGTAACTCCTTTCATAGTCAAACACTGCCACAACACCTCACAGTCGACAAAGTCACATGCTGCCTTCAGGTCAAAAATATGGCAAGCGTTGGCCGCCCGTAGGTATGCCTGTGTTCCAGCACCCGTCATGGGTAAAAATATGATCGATGCAGCCTCGTTCAGCTTAGTCTGAAACTTGTCTGATTTTCTTGAAGTTGCTGTTCTTGAGCTCCACATAGATGTTGGATAACTATAGACTCTAGGATCTTGGACATGATATTAGTCCGACTAATCCCCCTTCTTATAGACTGAGATGACCAGAGAAGTACACCAGTCTGACAGCACTACCTCAGATTCCCGTACACAATATTGTATATCCGTCACTCTAATCAACCATTCCCTAACTCCATCCCTGAAAGCTTCAGGTGGCAAATTGTCACGTCCTGCTACTTTGCATCGTTTCAGCTACTATAGAACTTTCTCAACTTCAAGAAGAGTTGAAGGACTGACATCTACGTTCCAATCAGGTTCAGGCTGGGTGTTAGTCGAATGCAGCGTTGCTGAGGGCCAGTTAAAATGTGCTTCGAAGTGATATGCCCAACGTTTTAGCCGCCTGTTTTGGGAGGTTATCAGGGTCCCATCCTTCTCAGTAATGGTTTCATTCAATATCGTCTTCGTCTTGCCAGTATCCCTAATAAGCCGAAATAGTTGTCAAGTGTTACCCAACGCTGACGCTTTCTCTATCTCACTATCGCCACCCACCACAGCTCGCAATGAACGTGAAGACTTCTGGTCAACTTACGTTTAAGTTTCTTTCGCTCTTCATCGTGGTTAGAGCCAGCTGGAATCAGTCTTCTTTCATAAGTCAGTTCGAATGACGTAGCGGATACCCATCCACTGAAGTTTTCTAACCTTTGGGTGTAGGTTACCGATTTTCTTCACTGATGTTTCAGCAGCAGACTTAATATCACTCCCGTATAAGATAAAACAGCATCTCAGATGACATCAGAATGATACGTAAGTTGGTAGGTAATGAAATAAGTATATTATAGGATATACAGATCAATTTTTTGAGTGAGATATTCATATATATATATATATATATATAAGTTCACTTTCAGTTCAGATATCACAAATGAACGATGCGCTTCACACACTTCAATATCTCTCATAAGATAGATTTGACTAACTATAAAATATTTCAAGTTGTTATTCATCGTAGACTGACATCAGTTGGAGGAACAAAGGAAACCTGGGAGCACTGTGCAGTTGTTTCGTCCTGGTATGGGCTCCTCAGCAGTGCGCACGCACGAACCCGCTACCTTCAGGTTCCGTGGCTAGCACGTTACCATTGAGCCACTGGGTCAGAATCCAATGGTCCATATTTTCAACTTGTGTTAGCTCATGATATAGCGCAACCGATGAATAACAACTTGAAATATTTCTAAATCCCCACTACTCCCTCAAAATTTAACTATAAAATATCAAGTCTGTAGCTAGTTAGTGGGTTACAGTATTACTGTACACAAACTAGCTTTTGAATAAAGGCGAGGTGAAATTTCTCACAAAGGTTCAGAATTAGTTGCGACAATGGACCAGATATCTCAGGTTTAAGTCATTTCAGATGGTTCATGATGTGAAGATGTATGCCTAAAAAGCAAAAATTCCTATTCAAAACCAGAGTACCATTTATTCTAGGGTCATCCTTAGTATTTGTAGTTCCTGATGAGGTCGAGTTGAATAATACTGACGCCTATCCATTAGAGATACTGCTAGTAAGTATAGTTACATATCGACTGATAATCATTAACTGAAGTGAGATTATCGGATCAAAATGATGTGATCTTCATATAAATTATACCACTAAAAATTTGATCGAGTGAACTAACCTTATAGTATGAATCCATACTTAATAAACTGACCCACTGTACATCCAAACTCTCAATAATTGCACGTGCAACTGAAGTTTTACCACTTGCACTTCCACCACAGATACCGATTACAAAAGGTTGCTGAGTTTGCCCTTCAACATTATACCATGGTGGACGTCCATGTGTAAATATGGTGCGATTGCCTACACGAAGAACCGGTTGTGGTAATCCCCATGTAGTTGATGAAACGGAAACAAACTGAAATGTACATACAAATAAAATAAGTAGGCGAACTATAAAGCAAGTATTTTAAAGATTTAAAGTTTTTAAAGATGGCATGAAATATAAAGTAGGCCACAATGCTTGTTTTGTTAATAAATATTCAGCTTCAGGTGTAACACTTGCATGACTAAATTATCACTTGAAGTCTTACAGATTACATGAATGGAATTTTCAGCATGCTTTCTAACCGATTGAATCTTTTCAGTTCGAAATCCCCGGGTCAAATCTATTCAGTAATCATATGTACACCAGTGCACTAGGTAATGAGCCATATCTGTGGCATGACGGGTAATGATTTTACCTGGCTGTCCATGTCTCGATAATTGAAGCGATATCTAACCCGTAAAGTACTGATTGAAAGTAAAGTGCTGAGATCAACCAGCCGCAGCTTTATATTCTTGAAAGCGATGAACGTCGATTTTAAACCCAAGACAGGTGGGACAAGATATATGGTAAATCCCACTTGTAATCACAAAGGAGCACTATAAAGAAGGCGAGGTATCATAATGAATAATAAGGCAGTCGCTGATTCATAAGAATTTATTCTGCCTAATGACTTTCGAAACCGCGCACGGTTAACTAGTTCACTAGTTAATAGCCGGTCCTAAGAATGGGTAAAGACGGAAGGTTGGGCATAGGGCTAGCAACCCTATACCGTAAAACAAATCCAACCAACCGCCAAAGAAACTTCAAAGCACAAACAAAATATAAAAATAAAAACAATATTATTCCTCCCTAGAATCCGAGAGGCGAAATCACGCCGGTTGCTAAAAGCCTTCAGGAAGCCAATTGGCCGATGTGTCTTCCCTTCTCTCGATGAAAGCAAAAGTAAACATGGGGACATGGAATGTCCGCACAATATTTCAACCTAGCAAGGCTATCCAGATTATAAACGAGATGAGAAGGTATCACAGTGAAGTGTCAGGAACTTGCGAAAGCAGATGGAATGGAAGAGGACTCTGCAAACTGTCAACCTGAGACGAGTCAATAATCTTACTCCAATATTGTTACCCAGACGACAACCACAAGCACACTCACGGAGTGGATATCATGATGTCCACAACAGCATCGAACCCTCTCATACAGTCGGAACCAATCTCCTCCACGATCAGGATCATGACACTAAGATTCAACTCAAAAGGAAGGAAGGTCACAATCGTACAATGCTACACTGTGCACCTACAAATAATGCTTATGAAGAGAAGGAGGAGGAATTCTACAGACAACTGCAATCAACACTCAACAAGACCTCAGTTTGTGACATCAAAATTCTAATGGGTGAGGTGATGTGAATGCCAAACTGAGAGCGGAAAACACAGGAAGAGAACTAACCATGGGTCGAGAAGCACTCGGTGACGTGATGAACGAGAATGGAGAATTGTTTGAAGATTTCTGTACATTCAACGATTTGGTGATTGGAGTCAGGCACTGTGTTCTAGCACAAGCATATCCACAAAGCGAGCAACATGGATTCGATTTCACCAGAACCAGGACACACTAAAAACTAGATCGACTTCATCTCAATGTGAAGAAAGTGGAGACTCAGTCAGCCTACTTGACACTCGGTCAAGAAGATTAGTAGATGTAGGCTCGGACCACTATATACTGCAAGGAACTTACCTTCCAAATCAAGTTAAAAGACCTCAAGGAAGTTGGTGATAGACCACAGTTCAAGTTGAACACCCAGAACAGAAAGTGAACTAAGGAAGAAACTACAAAGGAAATCTCCACGGCCGACATCAAGGCAAAATGGAGATACCGAGCAACATCACTCAAACAAACATGTGTGGATGAGCACTGGAACTCTGAAAGCTATGTGGAAAGAAACCTGCATAACTGTATTAGGAAGGAAGAAGAAAGAAGATGATGAATGGAATGGATCTCGACGGACACATGGAAGCTGATAGAGCAGGAAGAGGAGGATGGCGAGGCAGAAGATAAACCAGTGCAAACAAGCTCAAAGAGAGGAGGAACTGAGTACAATGTATAAAACAACCTATAAGACAAAGAAGTGAAGAAGAGTGCACGCAAAGACAAAAGACACTTCCACGACACACTGGCAAGTGAAGCAGAACAGGCTGCAGGTAGGAGAGACCTGACAACATCGTGTCAAATAACCAGGTAACTATCTGGGAAGAGATCAACACAGATGAAACCAATAAAAGATGATGAAGGAAATCTTATCACCAAAGAAGAGAAACAAAGGAAACGATGGGCTGACCACTTCAAAAAGTTCTTGAATCGACCACCACCTGCGCTTAGTCCAGAAATACCACCTGCAGCCACAGAACTATAAGTGAACACAAGCCCTCCGACAAAAGTCGAAGTAATGAACGCATAAAGCTACTGAAATGCGGGGAAGCAGCAGGACCAGATGGAATCCCGCCAGAAGCACTGAGGACAGACGCAGAGACAACAGCGGACATGCTCACACCACTACTGCAGAAGGTAGGGAAGGAAGAGAAGTTACCTGGCGATTGGAAGAAGGGTTACCTTGTCAAACTCCCAAAGAAGGGTGACCTAAGTCTTTGCAAGGACAAGGACTGGTGCGGAATCACTCTCCTGCCCACCCCAAGCAAAATATTAAGCCGCATCATCCTAGAGAGGCTAAAGGATGCGCTAGATTCAAAACCACGACCCAAATAGGCTGGCTGGATTCAGGAAGTACAAATCATGTGCGGATCAAATTGCAAAGCTACACTGCGCATCATCATACAAGAGTATAGAATGGCAGTCAACTCAATTCTGTACCTCAACTTTATCGACTTGGAGAAGGCCTTTGACAGCGTCGACTGAGAGGTAGTTTGGAAACTGCATCAATACTACGAAATACCACAAACCTTTATCACCCCCATTCAATAACTATGTGAAGACGCCACATGCTAAGTAATTCACAATGAGAAGCTCAGTGATACCTTTGAATTGAAGCGAAAACAGGAGTAAAACAAGGCTGTCCACTATCACCCATGATATTCCTGATTTTAGTCGACTGGATCATGCAGCAAACAGTGAGGAGCGAGAAGAGGGGGATACAGTGGCTGGACCGCGGAAAAGAACCTAGGAGATCTGGATTTCGCCGATGACTTATGTCTACTATCACACAAACCTGAAGATCTACAGGCGAAAACTAACAAGTTAGCAGAAGAGGCAACGAAGACAGGACTTCAGGTAAATGCAGAGAAAACAGAGGTGATGAAGATACCCAACCAACACCACCAACAACAACAACAAGCTCCAATCAACATCAACGGGAGAAACTTAAAGGAAGTAGCCTCCTTCACCCATCTAGGCAGCACTGTTTCAACTACAGATGGTGGCACAGACGACGACGTCAAAGCCAACCACGATCGGAAAGACAGCAAGACAGGTGTTCATTAGCCTGAAACCAGTGTGCAGATCTTCTGCATTCAGCTTGTGGAACAACATCCGGATTTTCAACACCAATGTCAAGTCGGTGCTTCTGTGTGGTTCAGAGACTTGGCGTGTTACGAAAGGCACTTCCAACAAACTACAGACATTCATCAACAACCGCCTACGCTTGCTACTGAAGATCAGATGGCCAGAATAACAGGAATAAGCAACAAGGAACTCTGGCCAGCAACGAATCAACCAAGAACCTATCGCTCAGCAAATATGCAGAAGCAGGAAGTGGAGACGGATTGGGCATACACTGAGAAGACTATTCGGGAACATCACGCACCAGTCCAGGCACTCGAGTGGAACCCAGATGGGAAGCGACGAGTTGGGCGTCCGAGGTGAGGGTGACATGGAGGAGATGGTATGAGGAAGAAATGAGAGCTTGTGGACTGTCGTGGAACCAGGTTCAAAGGATTTTAGAGGACAGAGTGCACTGGAGACGTGCTACTGAAGCCCTATGTTCCATTAGGAACCCAAGAGACAAACAATAATAATTATAACGATCTTCGAAATAAATGTTGATAGTAAGCTAACACTCCCATTATCTATTTGATATCTCCCATATATCTTACAACTTCCCTATGAACTAATGTATATACTTAGTTAAATAGGTCAGCAGTTCTGAGTTCTGATATTGATAGAGAGACACTTTGATGACGGTCACCACTGGATGGACAGTGAGTCAGTAATATCAAAGCTGAAATAAAGTAATAAACCAGTCATGTCAGCTCAGTGTAAAATAAACTAAACAGCTACAAAATTATCACGTATACAAGTAAACAACGAATAGCGGAAGGTAATAGGCTATGGAGATGGAAATCTTCGTATGACTAACACGTTACGGTGAATCGCAGCATTGAACACTAAGCAGTTAAAGTATTTTTACACTGTATTGTTTGAGTTAGGGCTTTCATAATTTGTCTAATTGCAGTAATTAGAACCAAAAATTAATAAGACATCCAAGAAAATTGTTACCTTCTGTCGCTTGTTTACTTTTGTTGTATCCTTATGCACAACTTCGTGGCTGAAATTAAACAAACAATTCATGAAGAGAAAATATAAACAAAACAGGTATACATATATCAACATGAATATTATTTAAATGGTGCTGAAAATAGTTTAACCAAGTAGTCGTAAGTTCAAGTGTTTTTAGGCAGAACAGACAAATAAATACAGAACCTTTGAAATAAGTATGTCAATTCAAGTCGACACACTTCACAACAGCACATGAAGAGAAAATGAATAGAGATCGACTAATATTATATTCAGCCAAAAGGATGCGGACGGAAAGTAAGTAATTAGGTTTGGACAAATGAAATTTCCACATTTTTGAACACGATCTAGAATATATAAGTGCCTTTATTATTGATCTTGGACAACGTTATCACCCATCTTAAACCATTTATTCCACAGTTTGCAGTCTACACTTCCCTTAAATAGATTGAACTGACATTTAAAAACTTCTTGAAATGGTACCATATCTTGGTCTTGTAACTCTTATCTCTCTTCATATTTAACAGCAAAGTAAGACGTATTGGCGTATTTTACCTTCAGAAAACAAAACTTTTCGTAACAAAAAATTTTTCGTTCTCAAGATACTCATCATGAACTTAACGTGAGACGGTTTAAAACCCGACAAAATGATGCGGAAGTTAGAATTCTTTACCTCAATTTAAACCCTAAACACTGTATTTCATATCTTTCATCTTGCGCTGACTATTTTGTTGTTACATTGTAGTTGTTCTCCATTATGTCTTCTAACGTAGGTTTTACGCAATTTACCGTGATCTACAGTAACAGAATGTTAAATACATGCAAATCAAGTGGTGCAATAAGATGAGTTTCTGAACTAGACCATTTGCACGTTATCTTTATCTTATTCGTCATACTGAATTCAGTAACTTCTTGTTCCTACTTTCCTTTTTCTACTACTTTTGACCTATTCTTCTTTATTTCTTTATCTTTCATCTTAATGCTTTCTCATCTGATGTGCTCATATGAATTCTGATAACTTGACTGTTGTGCAGTAATGCCTGATCCTATTTTCATGCTGCTGCTGATGATGATGATTAGGAAATATACAGTCTATACTAACCATACTGTTGATGTTACTACTCAACTAGACTTTAAGGCTAGATTGAAGTTGAAGAAACGAGTTTTATACACAGAAAGATGCCGAATCCGTAATAAAGCTGGCCGGGCAGCTTAAAAACTGAGGTGGTAAAACTGATGGGTAATGATTAACAGGTTATGGTTTACGCTGAGAATGACTTCCTAAGGAACATAAGAAGTACTGCTTACGGTAGACGAATCAAAGGTATGAAATTCCTAGTCAAAAATAGCTGGGAAATCCCCAATGACCACAGCTACCCTACAGGTGTTACTGCATGTATTGTAGTTAGATATTAGACAAGTAACTTCTCAAATATTGTCACTAGAACTTATAGCCTCAAGTACACTATATTAGCAAACATTAGGAAATTCCTTGTCAGGTTGATATAAAGCGGCTTAATCCAGATTGTCTTCTTCAATAAAAGATACAAAAAGAGCCATGTTGCAATCCTTGAGTGAATATAAAACTAGTAACTTCATGGTTTTCAGTTTCCAAAATGAAAATTCCTACGACAAACAGGAAAAAAACAGACACGTTTCGTAGGATTTGAAAAGCACTTAGCCAGACATAAAATCAGCATGGAACCTCACACAGAAAGGCATTGGTTCAACTTGCCACACTTCACAGTAGAGTACAAAGAACAAATGGATAGGAGATGTACGGGGGGAGGAAGAATTTAAAAGTTTTCCTCGACTAGTGTAAATATTCAAGCTTCAGAAAACGCTAAAGAGGAAAAACGCCTTCTCCATCGTGACTGATTTCCAGCCATTTCAACAAGAATCTTCAGTCATTGATTCCTATAATCTCGAGAACCCCAACCGGGCAGTCTACACCTGCCTACAAGGTTCAGATCAACAGTCACGGATTTCATAGAATAGTCCCAAGTCTTAGTCTGTTCACCCTGAACTTTTTTTCAGTCTAATCTAACTTGCCGTACCATCGGACGTCGAGGTAGACAGTGGCCCAGCATGCGCAGCATATATCCAAGCCACGTCAGTCGATAGAGGTTCACAATTTCGTCAGTCGACTTGAGTAGTAGCCTTTGTTTAACCTCCACATTACTTACACGATGATTCCAACATATGTCAGCAAAGCTACAAATAAATTTTTGGTCGAAAATCTGTACTCTCTTCATTTTTCACTTCCAACTGCCATGTCTCAGCTGTATAACAGGACAGCATGGACTCCAGAGCAGTATACTCGTCCTTCCATAGGTAGTCAGATACCTCGTCAAACTAGCCTTCTGCATTCTGGTTAGGATTTCGACAGTAAACACGCCGTAACTCCTTTTCTCTACCTGATAATTTGCATCCTCCGTCCTTAAAAAATTCATATGGGAAACCGTCAGGTACCTACTTCACAGTCAAACACTGCTACAGCGCCTTACAGTCCAAATAGTCGAATGCACTCAAGTCTAGGTCTGGAACCTGCATGGTTTTCTCAAGTTTGGTATTACCGAGCTCCAGTTATGTCAGTTCACCGTGGACCAAAGGATTTTGGATACGACATTTGTCAGAATGGTTCATATAAGAACTTTTTTCCTTTTCTGTAGACTGGAATGATCAGTGAAGTAGGTCAGTTTGATAGGATTACCTCAAATTCCCATACGCTACTTCGTACCTCCATTATTCTACTCAGCAATTTTCTAGATCCAACTTTAAAAACTTTTGGTGGCAAACTGTCAGGTTCAGCTACTTTGCGTCTTTTCAGGTTAGAAACAACCTCCTCAATTTTGATAAGAGTTGGATGACTGACATTTACGTCCTATTCGGATTCAAGATGGATGCTGGGGAACTGAAGAGTTGAAACTGGTTTTTTTGTCGATTGAACTGTAAAGCGGCGAATGAAGATTTCCTCCTCTTTTTTTTTTGTTTTTCGTAGGTACAAAGGAATTTTTAAATGTCTGGGAACAAACATATTGAAATGAAGTACGATCATTTTACTCATTATATTTTGGAGTTTTAGCACCGTCATATTGCCTTTCGTCATTTTTTTTAGCCTTGCTACCCACTTATAAATTTATACGAATTTTGATTTTATCATTTACACTTCCCTCGCATTCGTCTTGCTTTTTTTCTTGGTGTTATGATGAGATATGAAAGCTCGAACCATAGAATTGCCAGGTTTTATGTTAGTATTGACCAAATGAGTATTGTAACAGGGACGGGACTCAGATTCAGTGGTCCAGATAATTGATTACTATCAATTAGGTCACGAGTTTAAACTTTTAGCGTATATCATATTTTATTTGTCGATTTATTTTACATCCACTTCACAACTGAACATTTGTTTAATTGTTTAATCCATCTATTTGATACTGGTTTCAAGTTTCTGTTAGCTCATTGGTCAATACAACATCCCAATTTATACTTCGCGTCATCTCCAGCTATTTACACCGTCTGGCGCAGATGGATCTGCAGTGCCTGAGATAATAAGAAAAGCGATAGCATTTCGGGGACTGTATGTAAAAGATGGAATCAGATAACATGGCACGACAAACTCACGCTAAACACCATAACTTCAGCGACTGAATCGTATCATAAACTGTGAATACCGTGTACAGTTTATTTTTTTAGGAAATAAAACACGGTTGCTAAGCTTTCCGGACCGAGTGCTAATATCATATTTGTCATCCTAAAACGTTTCGCAGACTATTAGTTAGTTTCATTATGAAAAACAGTAGTTCAATTATAGGGAGATACTGGATAGTCTTACAACAATAAAGATCACAAATAGAAAAGACATGGATATTTATTTACGCGTCCGTCACGAGCCACTTTCACAACTCTAGATGAAACAACTCAATAAACGCTAGTCGGTATTTCTTCAGGAGTTAAGAATACTTCACATATATGAACAACTATGATAAATAGAAAGTATCATTAGTTTATTCACTATAACCTAATGAACGTCCACAGTATACGTTGAGAAAACATATCCCCGTAAATATGTAAACATTTTAACCATTTTGTCCTGAACAGTGAAACATATTGGTTAGTGTTAATAACCAAGTCCAACACAAAACAATTGTAAAGCGTTTTTAGACACTTGACTTATTCGCTGATGCACATATTTTAAGTTTAGTAAGAATATACTACTACCTTAGAAGTGACCGACCGGAAGCTCGGGAATGATATCTCGACTTTTAACATGAAATAATTGTCATCAACATTTCCTAAGTCCTAGATTAAGCAATTCAAAATTGTTTCATGTCCATTTATTTGTTGAGCATTTCACACAGTGAAGTGGTTTTATTTACCTGATGACTTTCTGAACAGAATTTATCGTGTTCACGTCAAAAATAAACCCATATCTTTATGTTCAAAAAGCCATCCAGAAGATAATACTGTTCTAAGGAGTATAATACAAAACAAACATCGAATTACATGTTGCCACTGTTCCTGAGTCCTACTCCTACACTAATGTAGAATCATGGTGAAAAATGCATTTTGAAAGCAGAGAAATACAGGGTTGGGATTCAGGGTTAATAGCTGCAAATTAGGAAGCATGCTTTAGAAATCATGTTAAGGACGTACCTTTGGGCACTATAAGTTAGAAAGGAATCTTGAAGTAAACTTTTACAAATTACTGACAACAGTTTAGGCATCAGTCAAGAAACATGCCAATCAGGTGTAGTTCACTAACCAACGCTTCTTAAGGATAGTTGGTTAGTAAATTTGGGCAACAACCTAGAAGACATTTGTACGTGATTACTATCTAGTGCTGAATAACCAGATAATAATGCTGGACACGGAAAAACTTTAAACCAACTGACTAACATTTTTGATACTATGCAATCACGGCAAATACTGACAAACAACGAGAATCTGCCATCCCGAGAACGACCAATTATAAGCCAGTGGGTTACTTGAGACATTTTGGTGGTCAAAAGCCAGTGAAATTGCTAGGCTGCGAATTTTCGACAAAACAAGATGTAGTTTACTAGATTCAACAAATCTCAGGGGTAGTAAGAATTCTCTTTAAGGCCTTACAGCCACAACGGCAAATATTCGTCACCATTTACATATCACGATTTAAGAGTTGAAACTGGGCATTACAGCCTAAGTGGCTTGATTAACGCAACATCACAATAGAAGAGAGCTTTACGAAATCATATAATAAAGGGAAGATACCTCATCTGGGCCAAGAAATTTTAAAAAAACAGTAGAACCAACTTGGCCAAAATCCTCGCGGTAGACTACAGTAAACTCGGTGGCATGCTACAATGTTCGAAGAACCTACGACAGAGCTTTCAGTGGACCCAGCACTTTTGCCGAAAAACTAAAAAGTAGGTCTGTGGTATTTGTCGGCTGGTACATCTATGTACAATTATGCAGCCTTCCAATACCAAATATTGATAGAGCGAGTGTAGAAAACTGATACTTTTTGATTTCTCACGTCTAGTCATGTTATAGAAAAAACACCCTGAATCAAGCTCACTTTATCCCATTATCCGACTCCGAGCTAGAAGCCATCCGTTTACTAGTAGGCGGTGACACCCAACACTACGGTCCAAACAGCATACGCTGTTCACGTGAAGGGAAGCGCACTGCCGAAATTCAGCTCCTCATTTGTCCAATATACAATAGCATCTAATCCACGAATTTTAGTAATTTCAAATGTTTAACGATTGGCAGAAAGAAATTTTTAACTAAAAAGCTTTTGTAGTTGACCGTTGCTTTCTACATCTTCAAATCCAATATCCAATATTGATATTGCGAGCGTAGAAAACTGGTAGATTTGATCTCTCACGTCTAGTTCTTAGGGCTTGGTTTGAGTTGTTCGGTTCACTCCTGCAGAGGGCGAGGAAATCCCCTCTGCTTTCTTACTTTTGGCTTCCGCGAGGTGGATGCTTTGTGGGTTAGTAAGTTTCGATTTGTAGAGTGATTGGGGAGCTACGGGTTGCTGGGATGTATGGGGAACTGCCGTGACTCCTGTCTGTGTAGGTACCTGAAAGAGAATAGTGAGGTAGTGGTAAAAGAACGAAGAGAGAATAAAAAAGAGGAGAAAGAAGAAAAAATAATAGTAGGGGAAGAGAAAAGGGAAGGAGAAGAAAAGGAGGGGTGAAGAGAGAAGTAAGAATGGAAGAAAAGTATTTGGGAATTGCGCAAATGGTCGCGTGGGTTTGGTTCCTACAGAAGAATTAGCAAATAATGTGGGTGTATTAAGGAGGGAGATAGTGAGTGGTAGTTAGGAGGGAGTTGAGGGCCAGTGAGGTTGGTGACTACCTGAGTACGTCCGTGGTAGTCCATGCGAGGTGACATAACTGTCTAATCGCCTCTTGAATGAGTCGACTGAGGGAGCTATAACGATGTGTCGCGGTAAGGCATTCCATAAAGCACATACTCTTAGGGAGAAAAATTTGGACCTGAGTATGCTGCTGGCACTCTGGTGTGCTATCTTAATGAGGTTTCCTCGTGAAGATCGTTGAGTTGCAGGCAAAATTGATTTGTTTGCATGGTCTGCCTGATGGGCGATCTTGTATGCCATAATGAGGTCACCCCTTTTCCTGCGATAACCCAAGGTAAATAGGTTTAGGTGTTTAAGTCTTTCAGGATACGTCTTTCCCCTTAGCCCCACAACTGATTTTGTTGCAGTTCTTTGTATTCTTTCAAGGAGATTAGAGTCTCTCTTGAGTGTTGGAGGAGCCACCGTATTGAAGACCTCTAGATGTGGCCGCACGTAGGATTTGAAAATGGTGAGGAAGAGTTCGGGAGTGAGGGCGCCAAGCTGTCTACGCAGAAAGTGTAGAATGGCGTTCGCTCTGGTTGTCATACCTTTGTAGTTGGAGCTGGTGTCCAAGGTGTCGGAGAAGTTGAGCCCCAAATCTTTCTCCATGGACACTCTGGTGATAGCACGGTTGCTCAACATGTACTGGAAGTCGGTCGTACTTGCTTCATTTTTACTGATGTGCATTACTTTGCACTTTTCCAGGTTGAAGCTCAGGCCATTTTCCGACGACCAGAGCTCGAGTTGCTGCAAGTCCTTTTGTAGTGCTGTACAATCAGCTTCTTCGTTTACCACCCTCCAAATTTTTATGTCGTCAGCGAAGAGGAGGATGGGTGAGGATATTTTATCTGGCAGATCGTTGACAAACAGGAGGAACAGAAGCGGTCCTAGGATTGCTCCTTGGGATACTCCTGACGTCGGGGGTCTCCACTCCGACCTTATTCTGTTCACTTTAGTGCAGAACTGCCTCCCTTCCAGGTACTCCTTGAACCAAGAGAGTAGGGGTCCACTTATACCAGCTGACATGATCTTGTGAAGCAGTACTGTGGGTGGGACACTGTCAAATGCTTTGGCTAGGTCGAGAAAAACATGTGTTGGTTCCCTGTTCTCCCAGCTTTGTGTCCAGTCGTCCCAGGTGGTTAGTAAGTTGGTGGCACATGAGCGACCACTCCGAAAGCCGTGCTGAGCAGCATGGACAGTGTTTTCCTATTGAGGAATTCCCAGATGGTGTCAGCTACCAGGCTTTCCAACACTTTCGACACAATAGGGAGTAGAGCAATTGGCCTGTAGCTGCCAGGGCTTTTTCTGTCTCCTCCCTTGAAGATGGGTGACAAGATGGCACTCTTCCATTCTTTAGGGAGTTTGCACGAGTCTATTGAGTGCTCAAAGAGGTTGCGAAGTGGTTTAGTAAGCACCTCGGCGCAGTTTTTCAGAACCACTGGTTTTAGGTTATCGCAGCCAGGGGACTTGCCCGGACGTAGCCTAGATAGCTTCTCGAACACTTTTTTCTCTGTAATAGAGACGTGACAGAGGTATTCGTTATTTGCGACCTGGTCGGTGTCGTGGCGAGTCGGTGTGGATCTTGTGTCAGTGCTGAGTTGGGCTTGGAAGTGTGAGCTCAAAAGCTCGGCAATCTCTAGACTGCTTAGTATACTCCCGTCATGGCCTGTGACAAGATTCACTCCCTTACTGGTCGACTTTCTCTTGACATGAAGCGGTACAGTTTTTGGGATTGCTTTGTAACCTCGCTGCCAAGTTTGTTTGATGGAAAATCTGTCGTTACGCACTCTAATGTTACAGAGGTTGCGAATCCTTTTGTAGTTCAAGAAGTCAGACTCCCTGCGTGATGTACGCCACTTGAACCAAGCCTGCTTCTTGCTCCGGATAAGCCTCTCTGTCCCACGCTTTAACCATGATTGTCTGTGTGTTACTTCTGGTACACTGTGACTGATGGCCCCAGTGATTATTTTCTTCACCTCCAACCAGTGTTCATCTATTGTGAGATGAGCCCAGTCCACTGGCCATGATGCATTCATGAGGTAGTCCCTCATGGTCTCATAGTTGGCCTTGCTGTAGCAAGGGAAGGTGTTGGACGTCTCCAGTTGCAGAGCCTCCCTAGTTATCATGGAGAAGGTGATTACAGCGTGGTCACTGAGGCCAAGGGGAGGTTGGATGCAAACGTCCTCAATGAGAAGTTCATCGTTCGTCAGAACGTAGTCAAGGCGCGATGCGTTTCCGTTAGGTCCCCAGCGTGTAGCATCACCCACTTTCTCTGAGAGGCCAGCAGTCTTAATTGCATCCTTCAGCTTCTGATTGAAGGATCTGATGCGTCTCCCTTCCGTCTCGAAGAGGATGGACGGGGTGTTGAAGTCGCCGGCAATGACTACGGAATCGTAATTTGCAGAGGAAGTCGTTAAGATCGCCTTGATGACCATTTCCTTATGTGTAGGGGAGCTGGTGGGGGACCGATATATGGCCCTGAGCAGCTATTTGGTACGGTGGAGAGTGGAGTAGCACCATAGAGACTCTGGGAGCTGGGTTAAGGCCGTATTGCTAACCACCCTTGCCTTTAAACGGGAATTTACGTAGAGAGCCACTCCCCCTCCTGCTGTATGTTCCGTCCCTGTGGAAGAGTTCCATGCATCCAATATCTTTTTACAAGCTAATGTAAACCAACTGATTTCTTCGCGCTCGCTTCCAGGTCTTGCGGAACGCATGAAGACGCATAAAGAAAAAGATATTATTGTTAGAGACTCTGCAAGCTCACACTGTGACCATTGGTATGTATCCAACCTGTGTTAAAAGGGCTCCTATGACGAAACGTGCACAACTCCTGGGAGGTGAAAACTTCGAGATCTCAAAGCTGTTATGCAGCGGAAGGTATGTTTGAAGTTCATTCTTGGTCTTAACTTCAGATTTCTTTCTATGACAAGTTCCAGCCCGATTAAATTCAATCCATTATCCAATAATTATGGCGCGAGCATACAAAACTGATGGCAATTTGTTGAATGATAGGGGAGCGTTGGGTAGCTGAAAAAGTTATGGGTCTATCGCAGCTGTTGTCTGTGTAGATACCTGAATTGGAATGGTAGGATAGTGAGAAAAAGTATGTGGGAATTATTCGAATGGCAAAAGTAGATGGCACGAGTCTAGTTGTTATCGAAGAACTAGTAGACAATGTAGATGTGTTATTAAGAGAGATAGCGTGTGGTAGGTAGAAGGGAAGTGAAGGTGAGCTAGCGAGGTTACCGACTCACTGAGCAAACCATGCAAAGTGATATAACTTTCTAACTGTTTTTTGAACGAGTCTACTGAGGGGGCTATGACAGTATCCCGATGTAGGGCATTCCGTGAAGCATATACTCTGAATGAAAATTGGGCCTGAACTTGGTGTTCGCTCTCTGATGTGCTATCCTAATAGGGTTTCTTCACGATGACTACTGATTTGCAGGTGAGGCCGATTTGTTTGCGTGGTTTGCCTGATGGATGACCTTATGGGGCATAATAAGGTTACCTCTTTCCGCGATAAACGAAATGAATGGGTTTAAGTGGCTTAGTCTTTCAAGGTATGCCCTCCCCTCAGCCCTACAACTGATCTTGTAGCAGGTCGCTGCATTTTTTGAGGAGGTTAGAGTCTGTCTTGAATGTCGTGAGAGCCATCGTACTGAAGATCTCTAGGTGCAGCCGCACGTGTGGTTAGAAAACGGTTAGGAAGAAGGTGTAGAATGGCGTTCGCTCTGGTTTTCATACCTTTGTAGTTGGAGCTGGTGTTCAAGGTGTCGGAGAAGTTGAGCCCCATATCTCTCTCCGTGGATATTCTAGCGATTCACGTTTACTAACATGCGCTGCTTTACACGTTTGCAGGTTGAGGCTCAAGCCATTTTCTGACGACCAACGTTCAAGTTGTTGCAAATCATTTTGTACCGCTGTACAGTCGGCCTCTTCGTTTACTACATGTCAAATTTTAATTTCATCAGCGAAGAGGAGGATGAGTGAGATCTTGTATGGCAGGTCACTAGCGAACAGGAGGAACAGAAGTAGTCCAAAGATTGCTCACTGGGATGCTCCTGATGTCGATGGTCACCACTCCGACGGTGTTCTGTCCACCTTGGTCCAGAACTGCCTCCCTTCCAGGTACTCCTTAAACCAAATGAGTAGGGGTTCACTTACACTGGTTTACATGATTTTGCGAAGCATGACCATGGGTGGAACGCTGTCAAATGCTTTGACGAAGTGAGTGAGGTGAAATATGAAAAACGTCACATATCACTGTTAGGTAGCCCTCAGCTTTCAGTGTTTAGAGGGATACACATAAAATACCACCTCGTGCTTCTC